ATCCCTGAATGTATGAGCTCCTGTTGCAGTCAATGGAGACCTAGTCAATATGGTTAACGTAATCTTTAAAGCTATTCATCTCGCTAGAAAGTAAACACCTGGGGTTCAGTTCTGCTCAGTTTATCTCTGTGAATATTTCAAAATTATTACAGATTATCTTTAACAATGGGATGCTTATCTCCTTTATCAGAATAACACTTTGCTTTCATTATTGTAGAAAAATACTTCAGCTTGTGCTAACTATTTTTTACAAATATGCAAATGATCTGGGTTGCCTATGGAAACACTTGTTCCTTGGCTGAGCGTAAGGCTGTGTACAAAAAAGAGTTGTTCAGAAGATATATATGTATATGGATAGATAAAGAGAATAGTTTGAGAAAATGGATGTGGATGCCAGAAAGGAATAGGGGTACTTGCATTTATTCCCAAATTGTATGATTAATATTATTTATAGAGATGAATGAACCTTTAAAGATTGCCATTTGAATCTGTTTGGTTTTGAAGTTCAAAAGCAAAAAATCTTTAAATACCTTTTGAAATTCCAATTACGAGTCAGTCAAAACCCATCAGTAAAAGAATAGTTTTTGTTTTACAAATTAGCAATTAAAAAGTGACAAATATCTTCAATGCTTAAACACTCTTCTGCAATATCCATTATGTTCAAATAATACTCTTTCGGGAACACGAGTATGTTCCCCAGTATTTCCTTCTTTTTTCCTTTCTCTTAGAAATGTCTCTGGAACCTCTCTATCTAACTCGAAAGCTGCACTCACTTCACCAGTACTGGGGATTATGCAAATTATTTCATGAATAGTTTAAAATCACATTCATGTTTTCTGGTTTCAAATTATAATATGGGTGGCTTGTTTTGCTTTTATGTTTCTTTTCCTGCTGTTTTTTACTGTTTTTTTCCTCTTGAGTTTTATTTAATTATTTAATGTAATTATTTTAATTATTTATTTCTTTCATTTTCTTACTAGAGTAGTCATAATTAGGGAAAGTAAACTTTTTGTATGTGAAGTCCTGAACTGAGATTATTTCCCTATTTTAGTAATCATCGTTCATGTTAAACACGGCTTAAGGCAGCCAGTGCTCTGAAGAACGGGCATTCTGTGAGTTGATGTGTCTTAATGCTGGAATATTATGAGGCGTTTTATTGTTAATATTTCTCTCCTTGTGACAATTTCTCTGTAGAACATGGCACCACTTTAGCAGAATAACAAACATCAGCCCCTGAATGTATTAATACTGTGGAAAGCAATTTAGTATTGTATTGTTGTAAATTACGTCCCTTTACTAGCAGGTTGTTTTATTATGACAAAGATTTCAATTTTATCTGTTCTCATGGATGTGAGGATTTATCGTTTGTGCAAGGTGCCAGCGTACTTGAGAAATTATGGGACTAGTTCACCAAGAGAATAAAACGTCTGTCTCGGAGGAAGGAGGGCCGAATGAACTCAGACATAAACTGGAAAAAGAAAAAGTGAAAGAAACCATGATGAGGATGTAGGTCACTAAGTCAAATCTACAGGTCAGAGAGGGCTATCAATGAGGGAATCTTAAATAATAGTTATTGATCAAGAAGAGTCAGTGACCACTACCCTGATGATCAGTAATTTCAGACAGTGCAGTTAGGGGTTTATTGAACATTAAAATTCTTGAAATAAATAGGAAAAGAATGAGCGTTTCTACTTTGTATTTGAAGTTGGGCCTATATCTGAACTCAAACGTGAATTTGAGTTGTGTCCTTAATTTTGGTTTACTCTTTTGCACTCAGGTGTGTGCCTAGGAATACATTGTGGGAAAAATTTTGGGTCTGTACTATTCCTTGGCATAGATGAAGTAGCTCATTCACCACCCCTCAGCACGCTTGTCCAGCCAATGTTAGTTTGATAAATTGTCTACAGAGTCCTTTTTGCAAGGGTCTCAGTGTCACCGGCTGCATATGCAGCTGGGATTTTAGGAAGCTGAAGCTCAAACCTCCCTTGTAGTATGAAGGATGCACAGCACTGAAGTAGTAGTGTTGGGTGAAGTTTATTTTCCGTGCTTCACATACAGGTACAGATACAGACTTAGGATCTAACAAACAACAAAACACATTAAAGGCACCCTTGGAAGCAGTCGAATATAGCCTAAGTCTGCCCACTTCTTTGTGAGTTCTGATGCCCTCTTCTGCCCTCCACCTAAATCCAACCACCGGAAAACTACTGAAAGGTGCCTGTTTTTTCAGGACAACATGTTTGGGTGAAAACTGTTACAGGAAGCAGAGAAGAAACTAGTGAACCTGATGAATTCTGAGACCACCATGTTTAGACAGTCCTAAAAAATAAACAGAATAACTGGGCACTGTTTGTAGTTAAATATCTAAATTTGAGATAGATGAGATTTAAGTTGATCCCGCTTCCTTCCTCTTTTGAGGTTGCATGTGTGAACACAAAATTTTCTTCTGTTGACAGAGTAAATTATGATTATCAGAAGGAACCAAGTCTGTCAGAGCAGACTGGATGGCCATGGAAAAGCTGTGTTTCCAACTTTTGACTATCTTGCAATGGAATGGAAATACCATTTTTTGGAACCAGTGATAGACTTGATATACAGTAACCCTTTCACATAATTAAACAATTGTCGCAGACATGATTTTTTAAAATGATATTTTCTCTTCTGTGTTCACTTTAGCAAAATCAGATGCACTTTTTGAATAGATTTTTTCATCAGAGTCTAATTCTGTAATGCCTCCAAAATGCCCTCATGGATAAGGCAGTATGAAGACGTAGTAAAGATTTAGCTACATCTCTAAGGCTGGGGATGAGGAGTAAAGAACTCCAGACAGGAATGATGAAGCTCAAGGATATTATTTTAACAGAGATTTGTCCTCTGACCCCAAGCTCTGGATGCTCATGTTTGCTTCTGAACTTTGTTACCATATGCCTGTTCAGTGTAAAAAGGTCAAGAATTTGTATAACCTCCATATTAAAGTATTGTTAATGAGTGTTGCCTACATGCTTCGCATCGCTCAAATGTACAGCCACAGGAATTTTGGCAGGACGCATGTGGTAATTTTACAAGGAACTTGCAGACATACCTATGTTCACATGCAGTTTTACATGTACGTATGCGTAACATGGATAAAAATACACTTCTAAGCAATTATTTGGTTAAAGACTCAAAGGCTGTATCTAAAGTATGTGTTCCAAGGCTATGTTCACAATGGACCAAGGAGCACTTCCCAGCTCACTGCTGTAGGCTCCCTCTCATCTGTGACCTGACTATTGGGATGAGGCATGGGCATGCGCTGTTCCCCTTATACATGCTCCGACTTCTGTGGGAAGGAAATCTGAGTGTCAGAGATTGCTGATGTGCTCTGGTTACACTCTTGATTTGGACAATGACGGGACCGCAGCTGCCGTTTGTACTGTGCAACATAGGCAGTGTGATGTGTAAATGCTGTCTCACCCTATAGCAATTGACTAGACCTAGGGGCATAATTGCTGGAGAGCTTCTCAGACTTAATTGAGATAGAGTAGTGACATCAGGTACAGAAATACACTCTAGTTTAAATCACCATTAGATAGGTGATGTGTGAGTGCCTGAAGAATTTCTCAAATAAGAATTCTTGATTGTTTCTGCAACACTGAGAGGGAATTTCAAGAGAGGTCTTACTGCAGTTTGCCACCAGCCTAATGGAGCTGAGGAACCCAAGTCTGATAGCCATAGCTGTCTCTGTAGTCAAGGGAGAGTGACTGTAATTTGATCAGCAGTTTATATCTTCTGTGGACTAAATTGTCCTCGGGAGATGCCTGCCTCTTCCCATGGTCTCCAGGAGCAGGCTAGGCTCCTAATTTATGCAGCTTGCTTGAGCACCTGAATTAGAAGGAGAAATCTAAGTCATTACTTCTGTAATTTTTGGTGCATTACAACTTTAATTTGAAGTTAATCTCTGAAGTTTCAAGGAAAGAATATGCCTTTGTGAGCCATCATAGTTGATAGAAGGGACTACTTTGTTCTTCTAGTTGTACTCTGAAGGAACATTTCTGTAATTTTTTAACCCTTCATATCTGCAGTGTTGTCAATAGAAAACCCATCATGGATCATTGACTTCTAAGTGTATTTAATATTTAGCTTATTTTTTACTGCCTTTTGTTCCAAATATTTTAGTAAGGCAATAATAAAAGGAAGAATGTTATCACTGGAAGAGATAATACATTGCCTGTAATCAGGGATAAGCTGAACAATACTAGAGTGCACCTGACATATTTCAGCTTTAGAGAGTCTTCCAAATTGTAGCTGACATCTCTTAACTCTTTAAGCCATCAGAGAATTGTGAGTGTTAGTCTTGTTTGTTCCTTCCCCTGGCTTTCATACAATGTGCTTGATTCCTATTGCCAAGAGAGTTTTGCTAATTTACACCTGTTGACAGGCTGATGTCCTTTGATAATTGGCCACATGGGCAAAAGACTACCAAAATTTTGTCTGAACATCAAATATCTGCATGCATAAATTGTTAAACTAAAGCATTTTTCCTCCTGTATAGCTTATAATTCAATCCATTATTACTGCCACCTTTAAAGACTGCATGTGCCTGAAAGCAGAAAATTAAATAACTGTTTGCCATTAATACAAATTATTGTGTTTTGACAGCTTGCTAATAAACAAAAGTAAAAATGGTGCTGTACAAATAGTGCAATTGCCTTTTAGGTAACTTCTAATTTTTAATGTGCATGAGAATTCTCCTTGTTTGGGTCTTTGAACCCTTGTAGGATTTGTCCTCTGTGATATTTTAATATTCAGAAGCATAAATAAAGCTTTATTTGAGTTGTGCTCTGATCCAGAATGGATTTCTCAGTATAGTTACTCTATGTATAATCTTCAGAAACATTTGACCATTATGTACTGGCTATAGATGTTACTTCCACCATGGACTGTATCAATTAATGTGCAAATGAGTGATTTACTGTTGAGCAGATTTTGACATAATGATATGTACTTTGTGCAATATTCAGGTATGGGCTGTTTCTGGGGAGCCGAGAGGAAGTTTTGGAGACAGAAGGGAGTCTACTCCACTCAAGTTGGTTATGCAGGGGGGTATACTCCAAATCCTACCTACAAAGAGGTCTGTTCAGGTAAGTCTTTCTCTTTGGTTTTTAAGGATCGTGAGTAGAATCCTGTCAGATCATGAGTGACAATAAAGACTGAAATGAGTGACTGCAGCAACTAAACAGATTTGGTACTTAGTCAACTCTGGTATTGGCCTTGCATCCTAATGAAATCTATAATATGCCCATCCCATTGTTACCTCCTAATGCTTAATGAGTTAATATATGTACAAATATTCTGAGTTAAAAAAAAATTCTTCAGGAAATGAATTCTGTTTCAAATTATGCAACTATGTTCCTTAGGAAAAGCATGAGTTTTGATTTTACTTTTTTCTGTATCTGAGTACGAACAAAAATCGGAAAGCACACATTCTTTTGTTTTCTTTCCATATAAACGACAGGTTGTATGGAGAAGTCTAAATTTCTCATTTGTGTTATTATTAATAATTTGTTAATTTTTTATATGCTTCAATGCACAGCATCCTATAATTTCCACACCAAACCCTTGCATTTATTTTTCATTGCACTCTTATACTGATCCTTCTACAGTACTAATAACCCAATACAGTTTCTTTCTGTGATCTAAAACATAGAACCACTGGCAGCCAACTGACTAATGTTGCTGTTAAAGCAAATTCTTACTTTCCTATATTCTCTGGTGGAGAACAACTTGGAGGTTTTCTTTTCATTTATTTTCTTTTAACACTTTTTACGCCAAATGCTGAAGTTGATACACTGTTCTCACGGACAATCTGTCACATAGGCTTGATAGAAAACAGGTAA